GTCTACTCATAACCAAGGTCCAGGCATTGCTGACTCTCCCATTCTGCACGCTGCAACTCTTCTGTCAGCAAAGCAGCAACAGCAACTGATGAGCGTTCACACGGGACCACTCAAAGCTCTAAGGACAAAGAATAATCTGTATTGGAAATGGAGAAGGAGGAAGAAACTAAATGAGAAGGCAGAGCTAGTTAAGGTTTGCAAGGAAAAAAATAAAAGGCTATAAAAAAATCAAAAGAAAAAATAAGTTAATCTGAGCTGGAGGAGGATTGGAAGAATGAAAGATTTATACAAGTCTTTGAAAGACGTGAAGCACAAGTATTGAAAGGGGAGTTGATATTAATAAATAAAATTAATATAATAGCTTTTGAAATTGCTTAACAAGAAAGAGTAACTTTGAATAAGCAGGAAGTATAGTTTATTTCTGCTCATTTCTTTTACAGGTGAAGTTACATATGGAAAGGCTACAGGCTGGGATGACATTTATTTTAATGCGTAAAGTGAACTCTGACATGTAGACATCTGAGAAATACTTTAAAAGCACTTGGGAAGGGGGAAAATGACAGGAGAGGAAAAAAAAAAGCAGATATGCTCAGTTTCAAGCAAAGAATGAATAATTGCAGCAATCGTCAGCCACTGGATCACTTACACATTTCTTGGTTATTTCAACCACCAAGAAAATCAGAGGAATTAATACCAACTCACTGATGTTAAAGGTAAACTTCATTATTTGAAAGAATCCTTGCAGTGTAGAGTCTGGGACCAGCTGTTAGAGACTGTATCACACCCACTGCAGCAGCACATCAGAGGAAGACACTGCAGGGGCTAACAAACTGAAATAGGATACTTGCACAAGAACTAGTCATAGAACACTAATCTCTGATAACTACACTATCTGCGAATCACGAGTTCACTGATCAGAGTATGCCATTTGTCCTTCTAGGTAAGGAGATGCATTTTGAAAAGCTCCAGTGCAAACCAATGGTATTGTACTGAAGAAAAATAATTAAAATGATAACTGTAATCACTACCATAAATACTTACAATTTAATTAAGGGCAAGGATTCTTTGTCAGTGTCTAACTAGAGCTCTCAATGGATGTGATTTTCAGAAGCACTGTACTTCCAGAGGGAATAAAGTAATTTTGGTCTTTTTCTTTGCTAAGTTACCAACTCATGGGAAAAGCTGATAATATACAAGCATATCTAGTTCTCAGAGGGATTTTCAGGTCATCAAATTCAGTCCCTTTTTCTGGAAAGGAAATCTATAACTTTATTTTTTTAAAAACACATACCCAAACCAGTGCTGGCTACAGCAGTGTCCTTCAGCTACCCTAGAGATGCACACTGGTAAGTGGTGATGTTGGGTCACAGGGCCAGCTTTTGAAACATCTACTCCCTCAGAAGCAAGCAGTCAAAGCTTGACTCTGGAAACACTCCTTGAAAGAAAGGTCAGACACAAACATCCCTCTTATTTTAAATGCCACACTCAGCAATGCAAACCAAAACAAGTAGTGCTCCTACTTGCACCCTTTATCATCAGTGGTGCTTGTCAAAAAAATGATCAGTATCATTCACGTATGAGGAGCCAAATGAGCATTAAACCAATGCAAGCTCTAGGGCTCTTCTTCCGCAAGATAACATCAGATATTAGCCACCATTTCTTGCCTCATCACATGCTGATCCCCTCAGTAATGAGGATTTTAATTACACAAATCTGTCTCTAGGTATTTTTCTAGCATAACTACTAAAAGGCATGAGTCTACTGAACTTGTGGCTATAGAAGAGATGTGCATCACAGACAAAATTCAAATAGGGATAAGGTTTTTAAACTCCCCCCAAAGTTTGGGTGTGCTGAGATTTATGGTTTTGTGTCAGGCTGTTTAAAGATTTGGTTTTGTGGCATTCTTTTTACTCTGACCCCAGAAGGAGTTTTGATAATTAGATACATATGCAAATATCTGCATATGCAGACATTTGCCTGTGTGAAATAGAAAGATTTTTCACTGGATGTTCACAGAGCACTGGCTCTTGCTTTTAAACCTCATCGCAGGGAAACTGCACAGAGCATCTGACTGTGAGCTTCAATTCATGACAGGATAACATCAAGCAGTCCAGAAGTTTGGTCACTGCTGCTGAACATCCTCCAATCTGATTGCTTCATGACCCCTGTCTAGTAAGACTTCAGCATGAACCAGGAAATCCTTTGGATCCAGGCCCTCTCATGGGTTTCAGCCTTCTCCCATTTACCCACCTGGTCCTGAAGAAAACCAGAAAGAGCCTGATACTCTAAATATCAAAATTATGGATCAACCCAACTCGTTTTCATGGAGAGTAGAGCCAAGACTTTAACCTTGCCCAAGCACAAGGATTTTGCAAGTCCCTCTAAAGAGCCAGGTAACCCAGATCAATGGGTATTGAGATAACATTTCTTCCATGATTGTCTCAGCCCTTGTGAGCATGTCTATGCATACATTTCATTTCACATGCTGTCTGTGTGAAAGCACTGCTGCTCCCATGCTTCAGCACTAAGATGCTGCTGCCAAAAAGAAGTACCGGCTTGCCTCCTACCTGTATGCCATAGGCAGATTCTGCACTGACTGCCATTTCTTCTCACATTAAATAATTACTTAACTTGCATTAATTTTTGCCCTGCTGCGTTAATATGGTATAAAACAAAAAGGCTGAAGCCTTACTTTTGGCCCAAGATACAGGAGGCCTGTTTGCATCTCACCTGAGCAGCTGAATAGAAAGCCTTGAAGCAGATAATTACCAGGACATGAAAGGGACACATAGTGACCAGTGCAGGAAAACCAGTGATGAACACTGGTCCCAAGCCCTTTTCAGTGGAGAAAAATTACTTCACAGTTTAACTTCTCTATCAGGCATCTATTACTACCACTCAAAAACAATGTTGGATCAAACTAAGATCTTTAGCAGGATAGCTAAACCTTAGCAAAGCCCTGGAACTGAATTAAGATTAAAAAATAGATTCAAAATACACGGGGAGGAAGAGATAGATTATTATGCTTAGCAGAAGTAAATATCCATAGAAGCAACCTAGTGGCAGAACTGGCCATCTCCCATGTTTGTCGTGCAACTTGGGAGGTAGCACATAATGGCATAGGGAAGACAGACTTTCCCACATCTTTTCTTTGCTATTCACAACTTGTTACACTTTAGTAGTTTCATTATTTTCCTTTTCTCAAAGAACAAGGCTCTCAATCAGCAGTTCCTCAAACAAGAGGGTGTGGTTTATACATGTCTTAATGTGTTTAGAACACATGTTACAGATGCTGCAACGCCCATAGTAAAAGCTTTTTTTTTTTTCCAAAGAGGTAGCCATCGAGCCTAGGTAATCTGAAACCTTTCACTGAATAGCCCATCTCCGCATTCACTGTAAGGAAATGAATCAAAGCAATTGCAGTGCCCAAAGCCAGATGTTACACAACCTCCTCATTCCAGTACCATTCCTGTTCCCTTAGTGCATGCCCTAGTGCACCCTGAACACTGACTTGGAAGGGTCCCAAGGAAGACCTTTAGTTTACATCCAGAGATGCAATTTAAGGGACTTGCCAGCTTAAATCTCAGAAGGCAAGGAAGAGAGGACTTCTGGAGATCAATCAAAGACAAAATTATAGCAACTCTTTCGCAGTAGAGCAGAGCTCATACAAGACAGCCTAGGGTTCCTTTTAATTTGTATAATATACAGCTTGCCCTAGTTTATACACTCTACAGCATTAGACAATTAGGCATGCTGAAGTATCATTATTCGCCTGATTCACCAGCTGAGCATCCTCAGCCTCCACTCCCCTTCTCTCCCCTGAGTGTGGACCATTATCCTCATTTTTGCAACTCATATAGAAGAGGTGCCCTACAACTATAATTAGTCCATTCCTTGCTTGTTTTAATAGCTGTATTTTCTAAACTGAAAATAATATTCTTTTCTCAACTATCTTGACTATTTGCATTTTTGCCTGTCTAGGACACTTATTTTAATCAGTTTTTCTTTATTTTCAATTTTCTGGGGGACGAAGAGAGAATCAGTTAAAGTTAAAACTGCCAAATTTTACTTCTGATCTTGAGTATATTATAATGGACTCATTTTCAAAAATCAGAAGAAGGGCAGCTGGAAAGAGTATTAGCAGCTGTTTTATAAAGCAACTCTACTACCAGGCTTACAAGTATTTTTCCCCCAAGACATAGAAATAATATTTTCCCCATGACCTCGACTAAAATAACACATGGATCACCAGCAGTAGTACATATGCAGCCAATCACCTGTAAAGTGTCTCAATGTTGGTAAACTTTGCCAGTAACAGCACATGTGGAAAGCACAAAACATAGCAACATACTGTGAAATACAGTACGTATGGAATGCTTGAGTGTGCGCACAGAAAGACTTTTCTTTCCTGACATTATTTTGAATGATAAGCCACTAAAGATAGCATCCCATCCTCACACCAACAAATCAGGTCATGTGATTATGTATTCCTATTTATTTACAATACCAGATAATGTTTGAAAGACTTAAAATTGCATGTTGGAACTACTTTGTCTAAACCTACAACACATTAGTTACCATTAATCCTGCTGCATAGCTCCCAAATGGCAAGAAAAATAGCCACTTATTTTGAAAAATGCCTAAAAATGACACTACTTTAACATCCATCATCTTATTCCTTCCTAGCCCTAAGGAGTTCTTGGGTAGTCCTTTGAAAAACTTGGAATACCTATCACTAATGGTAGAAATATCCTATTTTAGATTTACATGCTTATGATATGTAACTTCTTAGATCTAGTTTATCCCTAAACATTTTCTTTTCTGTACATCAGGCATTTATGATATTTAAAGAGGTATGTAGGGAAGAAGGAAGGAAATACTCAGGCTACAGTTTAAGTTATCCACCTAGGTTCTGTCCTGAAGATTTTTAAGCAAGTTCTCGGGGATGTTATTTAGAGGAGGTGAACAAAGCATGTAAAAGAAAAAACACTGTAATTGTAATTTATTACCTCATAATGAACAAACATTAAAAACAAAAATCTTGTATGAACCAACAGATACAGATGTTATTAAGCAGCTCAATAGCCCATTCATGAAACTGCGTATCTGGGGGCTAATAACAGAGTTTAACCTTGGGACTCTTTCAAACAGAAGCTTTTTTTTCAAAGACCCAGAAAGCAGAACAAAGCTACAGAAACAAAAATCTGAGATTAAATATATAATCAACCATCTTTTTGAGTGGAAGCAGTATGATTTGTGACTGCAGAGTGGCTTGATGTTGGAACGTTAACAGAAACTCTTCAGCCCCAAAATGAACCAACAAGAAGATAACCAACTATGCAGTAGCTTGAGCCTTGTATTCTTCAAACGCATTGCCAATACTCAAGAAAGTTAACATGATTTGAGTGGGCACTTGTCAAGTCCTGTAATCTCTACATGTTGGGTGGCAGCTTAGTTTCTTTCAGATTCACAGGCCTCTGAACATTCATATGCACATTCATTCTCAGCTGATTGAACAGAGCCCCCCACTCATAGTGGCCAGTTCACCTGACACAGTAGCCTACCTCACAAAATGGAATTCCTCCAGTTAGTAGAAAAATAATGAAAGTAAGCTTGAAGAGTTAGGTCAGCTGTAAGCTTATACTGAACTGGTCAGTTGGGAAGAGCACATCGCCCATGAAACATAGGTATTCAAAAGGTTTTCTTTTGTCTCTAATTCATTCCTTCCCACATTTACATCTTAGAATGTTTCATTCCAGTTTCATATCCCAAGCTATTTCTCCAGTGCTTCTGGAGCTTAATCCAGTTTAGAGATATCTCTGCCATGTTTGTACAATATTTCAGTATGAAAAGAACTGGTGACAATAGGGCTTTCTCACATTCCCAGGAGCACAGAAAAAAAAAAAAAACCTTAATATGCTCTTAGGAATCCTTTTAGGAAAACAATCCTCAAACATTCATGTGAAATCAAGAGTATTGCTCACAAGTATGCCACTTAGTTTAACTTCACCTTTTCTTCCATACTCTTCAATGAACTACTAGATGTTTATTAAGCACAACAAGAAGAATCTTTAGAATTATGTCTGCAAAAATACAGATGAATGAAAACAGATAAATGAAATAGAGAAGTTAACACTAAGCAGATAAGCACATAAATCTAAAAATCTCTCGCTGCTGAACTGCAATAGAGATGAATAAATATAAAGCTTTAGACAGTATTTAGCTATGGATAAATAATGCAGTAATCATGTGCATAGGAGTTTGAAGAAGAGAAAGAATATTATCCCTTCATGTTCTATTAAGTGAAAGCCTTAGGTTAAATATCATTTCAAAGTATTCTTGGCTGAATGTAGTATCCCACTCTTCTGAGTAAAGTTGTTAGATCCCACTTAAAAGACTGATAATCCTGCAAAGAGGAAGACCACATCACCACAAATGACTAAAAAACCCTCTATCAGTTATTAGATAACACTCACCAACAGGCCTGTCATGCTCTAAAATACTTAATATTATCTTATGGTAATAACAGGACATGTTATTGTTTAAATCACACACTAAACATGAGAGATCAGTTCCTAGTAAGGAAAATTACTTGGGTATGTATTCTAAAAGCCTCACTCACTACAGCAAGAGGTTTCGTGATCTGTTCCTTACACATTGACATTGTGGCTGGAGTTAGACTATGGCAAAGAAAGATTTGCTCAGGTTGACAACAAAGAGGGAACAACAGGGTAGGTAGAATTCAGTCTGCATCCATACTACAGTGTTCATTTCTTCTCTAATGGTGAAAAGAAAGCTACTTCACTGGGCACAAAACATTTTTTTCCAGTATGAAATACTTCATCTGTGAGAGATGAGAGTAGAAGTGAACGAAGCAAAGACAAACCTACAAAACCATAGAAGGTATGCAGCAGCCGCAGCTACATCCTGCTTATAAGTGAAAGTGGACAGAGCACTATTGCAATTGGTCTCAAAGCCTTTTTCAGTCTGAGAGGTCTTTCACAAGGCATGCTGGTGGGAAGCCTGTAGCAGTACCTAGCAGTCGACAGGACAGTGCCCAAGAACATGGTGCTAGTGGGCACTGCACAGCGTGATGTAAGCAAGGAACTGCTCAGAGGCAGAAAAATATAACCCCACTGTGTCCTACAAACAGGCATGCAGGATTCACAAGTTTGATTGACTGCTTCTAAAACACTTGGCTTGCAGCCTTCCCCAAATTACAAGCCTCAAGGATAAAAAAACACAGATAACAATTGAGAAAGCAACAGTAAGATCAGCTACTTTTTTCCTCTATCAGAGGTCAGGACAATTCCCTCAGAGGTAGGACTTACAACTCTAGATTTCACGAGCCTCACTCCCGTAAACATTAAGGCCCTCTTAGCATCAGAAGGCCTGAAAGTTACCCTTGCTTGTTCTTTGTACCTCTTCCTCCCAGGTAGCTGGAAGGCAGCAACTCCAGGTTCCCATTTCCTCAAGCAGGAACCCATCTACAGCCCGACCTTTTGCCACTACTTTCAGAACAATCTTTTACTTTTCAGTACCTCCCATTAACTCCATCCCCACACCATCTTCCCCTAAAAATCTGTTATAAACCATGCAACTTCACCTATCAAAAAACTGATTTAGGGGAAATTTTCTTTTATTTCTATTTTCCAAATCTACTCTTATTCCCCTCTGCAAAGAGGCAAGAAGTTCAGAGGGACCAGTGCTGCACATCTGCCCTCTGAGAAGGCACTGCCCACATTTCATAAGCAAGCTGGCTGAAGACCTGTCCACTGCATGGTTGTCACAGCCTCCTGAGGTCTTCTGCTTCTGTTCTTCCAGAAGAGAAATCAATCCCCACACTCCAGACTTGGGAGATTAAGTCCTCAGGATAGACCACTGTATTGTATGATTGAAAATATCAGCTTTCCAGCTGCGTCACTCATCACACTAAAGTACTGCTGCTTTGAGTTCCAGAAAGCCCTCAGCACACCCAGCGCACCGGTGCTCTGCAACCACCAGATAGTATTGATGTCCTCTAATGAAAACAAGCCCTTCCTTTTCCTGGCTGTGAGGCAGACTCTGTGACTCAGCAGAAGCTACTGCATGAATAAACACGATGGGCCAGATTCCCCTTGACACGAGCAGCCCTTTCACACCCTTCTGGCAATGCCAGAGAGCATTAATGAGATTGCAAGTGTGCGTTATGCCTACATTAAGGTCTCAATGCAATGCCAGAAATGTGTAAGGAAGCCTCAGAATAAATGAAATCAGGCCCAGTAAGAACAGAAATGCTACAATGGGATTTCTGTGGGAACTTTCCCAAAAGTCATCTCCCACTGAAACTGCACTGTCGGCTGGTGCTCATTCTGCTGGTCACATGTGGCTCCCAGATCTCTTTGGTTCATCAGCCTCAGAACATATGTGATGGCGTCTCTGTGCAGTAGAAAAAAAGAAATGAAAAGGTGGCTCTGCTTCCAACTCCACAAAGGATATGAGCAGGCTGTGTATGCTTCTGCAACCCTTGTCAGTCAGTAAAATTAGATCCTTACAGCCCTCTCACTTGAATACATGTAACTAGCTAGACATCAGGCAGTACAGGGCTGCATTTGAGGCATGAGTGCAGCAGCAGAATAGTAAGAATGTTGGATTAGTTTTGGCATTGTCAGGATCTTTCTGATGGCCAGTAATCTCAAAGGGCAGTGAAAAGACTGCAAGGACTGTGGACACGTAACTAATTATTTCAGAAGAGCTTATTCTCTTATAAAAATATAACTATTTTTACTTCCTATTACAACTTTCATGTGAATTCTAAATAAAGCACAGCAACAAAATATCTGCATTTGTAATTATTTTAAGGGATATAACCATGACTTGTATTTCTTGGTTGAATTTGAGTTTTAAAAATTTAAGCAAATAGTTCAAGGTCATCCTGAAAAGAATCTGGGTAAATGAAAATTTTGTTAACTCTACCTATGAGGAAAGTTCTGTTGCTTCCCTGTAAGCATTTATAATAAGGTTTCATACCATTATCAGTGCACTATAATAAACTGATTATTTGGAAAGTCCAAGAGGCACTGTTTTCCAGAGATGGCTAGCGCAAAACAGTACCTTCTAAACATTGAAGATCGCACTTAAGTCTTCTACAGCTCTACTGCCATTCCAAATTCCTTTGCTAAATTTATATTAGAAACATTTGCAGTGATGTTTTTAACCTCCATCTGTGTGCCCCTGATGAGAGGAAAACTGACTGAAAATTTAAAGAAGCCAATGAATTCAACTATGAAATTAAAACCGAGGACTCCCTCAAAGATGTAGATGCTACTTGAAACATTTACTGACTCTTATTTTAAATTAAAAGTCAAGAGTTTTAAGGGAAAGAAAAAGGAAAAGCCTCCTGAAAGGGTTAAAGTTTTCCCCTACAGCTTCCCTAAGCGGAACTGATATTCTTAGTCTGACTTAAGGATATGGAATAGAAAGGCTGCCAACATCTGTTGTGGTCAGAGACAGATAAAAGAGACTAATTCAGAGCTGGAAGAACCCATGTACAGCATTCTGTGTTGCATTACCCTCTTCATAAAAGCACGCAAAATAGCATTCAATAGTATGGAAGATCGAGGCTCACCTAAACTTCACTGTAGGGTCCTAGGAGTTCCACACATATATAAGTTCCCTCATCATCACAGAAACAGAAAAAGCATAACATGAAACATTTAACTTCTAACTGCAAAGCTCTGGGACTACAAATATTTCAGAAACAGTGAGCTTATATTCTCACCACTATATAATAATAACGAATGAAATATAGAGAGGAGGTGATTTGAAAGTAATATCAGTTTAGCCTGTTGACCATGAGGAAGTTAGCACAGTACTAATTCGGATGCTAATTAACTTTGGAAGTGGATTAGCCTAAACTCCATGAATGCAGTCATGGCAAAAGGATCCACTGGGGCTTGAAGAGATAACGTGATTTATGTTCACACCTCCATTCAGTGCTTCATGTAGACAAGTCTTCAAACTACAGTAATCAAAAATTATTTCTAAGGAAGCCAACTGTATTACGATGGTATACAGTAGGCACATAGACAAAATCCACACTCCAGACTACAAAATACAAAACATTACATCCATTTATATTTACTTCTGCTAGAGTCAGTCTCATTGTGGGGCAGGAACTTCCAGTGTCTGAAGTGGATTTTGAAAAACAGTCATTTTACTGCAGGAAAGAGACATTATACATGCAAGCAACTTCACTACATTATGAATGTGTCAAGTCTACATGTTCTTCTGGTGTGAGTTCTGTTGTCCACATTCCAAACAAACATTCAGTGAAGTCAGCAGGACTTCTGCCCAAGGAAGGGCTGCCAACTGCATCTTTCACAGTGGAAGAATTACACATCACCTTTTTTATGCATCAGTAACTAGGATGCAGGCATGGAATTAAAACTCCCAGCAGTGGTCTCAGTGTGTGCGGCTGTTAGGAGCAGAGAGCAACAGTGGCCACAGGCACTGGGTTCAGCTGCTGAGCTTCTGAAAGTAGAGCTAGAGAAATCCTGCCCTTATTTCTGCTCCAAGGAGGTGGTCTAGTCCCAACTCCAAAGGACAATTGAGCTTAGCAATATTTCTACCTCTAACACCCTGACATGTCCCTAAAAGCATTTTCCTTAGCTTTCAGAAAACATGTAGAATATTCTTGGCACACTGCAATACCAATTGAAATCCTACCAGTTCAGATAAATTTTCCTTCACCTACCTCCATCTATTTTAAAATCTGCTTTGCATTCTGTCTCTTAGCCTCCCTCAATTTCTTCACTTGATATAAAGAAAGAGAACCATATTATGGTACAAGCACCAGCTTGTAAATGCAATAAATAATTAAGGATTCTCAACAAACACCAGTTTCTTCTCTTAGATACATGATTGCGGATGTCTCTTCCAAACCAGGTGTAAACTTACAAGCTGACTTCGTGAACTCATTCCTCCACCGCCAAACTGAAATCTGATTTTTTCAGCTCAATAGCATGCTTGTGTGTTAAATATACACTAAACTATTAAATCATGTTTATTGATGTTTTATTACTGTTGCAGATACACATTCTGCAACATTAAAAGCCAACAAATGTTTTGAATTATTGGTAAGTATTTATTTTGTCACACTGAATTTTTTGCAAATATATGTTTTGAATAACTGATCTTTACTTTAGATGCAATGAAATCAGTTATTTAAAATGTAATTGGAGCTTTAAACAACTATACCATGACTACCTCTTCCCTGATCTGCACACATAAGAATGAAGATAAACACTGCCACTTAAAAACATCTCGCTACATCTAAACAAGTCATCTGATACAGCTCCTAGGTCTCTTAGTTGAGAAATTATATGCCCAGTAGGATAATAGCAGTCTGTGCAAGGTCTGATCCAATGGGATTTTGCCATGCAAAGCCTGCCAGCTTCCAGATCTGTATGTCTATGACTCCCTCTTTACAGGCAGTTCCCTGTAAAGAGACAGGGTTTGTGCAAGAAGTAGGAAGATTTAGTACGCCACACAAGTTCTTCATGTTCCATAGTCCAAAATAGACTTATCTGGAGCCAATTAGGAGAGTAATTTATACCAGACCCTTGCTGGAATGACTTGCACTCTTGCGGCTCTTCAGATGTATATCCAATAGGGAGCTGTCACTCTGCATGAGTTTTAATACAGAGGTCCAAGTACAAAATCCAGTACCCGGAGACACCATGTGGCTTCAGAATTCTCCTTGAGAGACACTGATGCAATAGCTCAATATCCAGGTAACACACAGCATGGAGTTCTCCTCTTAGTGACAGGGCATAACATGGGTTATTTTCTTCTTTTTTGGATTTGGCAGTCTTCTTCAACAAATGAAGTAGTTAATCAGTTTTTCAGCATAAGGAGGGTTTTTTGTTGTTGTTTTTTTAAACTTTAGCTATTATTTCAACAAGACAGGCCTAGGCTTCAGAGCACTGGCTACATTTACTGGAACAAATATAAAAGGAATAAACAGCTTTCTTCTGAATCTATATAGCCTTCATACTCTTTTACTGTGTTTATAAGCATGAAATAAGTCTTAGAACAGAGCATGAGATCTACAGAATACGTGCACATAGCCTGAACTAGTTTGTATGTAATTAAATACCTTGAGTCTGGAATCTCAATCTAAAGAGTTTTGTTCTCTTTACCACAGAGAGGTCACCTGCAAGTAATCTGAAACAACAGACTACCAAATATAAATAACAGTGTACTCACCAAAAGTTGTGCATTCTTTGCATTCACTGTTCACATAATGCAACCCATTTAAATACTGATCCATTCTGCAGCTGAAAAATAGGGAAACGAGAAATCACTTTCGATGCAAGCAACTGGCAGGAAGCTATAGTATTCACTAAGGAATATCTACTGTATTTAATAGGGCAGTGCTTCAGAAATCTTATATTAAAGTATGTCTTTACTCTACCATGCAATGCTGTGAAGCTTCCAGTAAACCGGCTCCCATACATACCAGAAGCAGCCCAGATTAGGCCGCATAGAACTCAGCAGGTGACCTCCAAATAGAGGATGGAAGAGACCCATCATAAGCAGATTTTAGTTAATTTTGCTGCAATTGCAGTGTCTGGAAGTCCTTAAAGTATAGTATCCTCTTTACTATACTCATCTCTATGTTCTCCTTAGAACATGCCATGTTATCAAACAGCAATTTTTTTGCAGTCTTGCAGCAATGATGTGTCCTCACTATACGTGTATTTTCAGCAGGGGGATGAGGCACATGGAGGCAAAGCCTTCTATATCACTTTGCAGCCAGCAAAGGAACAAAGAGGTGAACTTAGATCTGCTACATCCCAGGTCATCACCCTGACTTCCAGAGAGATCATTTTCCTTAGACAGAGGGAAAGAACTCCCCTGTACTTTGGGGCCAGCAGTCCCTGAACTGCAAGGACTGCAGCTTGTGGGGACAACAGAGCAACAGGAACTCCTTCACTGTAATTAAAAAAAGCATATTTTCATTGGTTAAATGAAGTGGATTACATGCTACTGCAACAAAGTTGTAGTCACTGTTTTTAACAGGCCCAATTCTCTCTGGGAAAGTACTAGAGATCTTTCCTGGTTATTTTCGCTAAAGTAGTTGAAATTGCTACAGTGTCAGGCATGGTGTGAGTATTTAAGGCTCTCCAGTGGCAAACACTCACCACAAGCAGCAGTCTCACCTGCTTTGATATTTGTCAGTGATAGGAAAGCCCTTTTAAATCCTCACAGCAAAGGAAACACAGCAATGACCCTGAAGTAAGGAAAACGTAGTTACTGATTAGCAGCAGCCCAAGAAAATAAAAGGGCCGGCAGGAGAAGAAAAGCAGTCCGAGATCCTTGAGAAATTTATCTCTAAGATATCCAAAAGCCCAAAGAGTTTTTTTTGTTTGCTATCTGTGTAGGACAGTTTCCTCGAACACCTCAGTTCAGCCCCTGCCTCTCATGAGAAGGTCTCGCTTGCCCACACAGGCCTCCTCCAGCACACCAGGCAAGCAAGGAATAACATCCCACCTCAGGACAGCAAAACTGAAGAGCAAGGAGGATTTCTGCCGTTTTCAGTCACTCCCTGCCTTGCACAAGCAGCTGGTGGGAGTTAAAAATACTACTACTAATAAACTTATCTCAAAAAAGTATTGCACAATCAGTAAATACATTTGCACTCCATAGACAGCTAGAACCCCGTGCTGCTTTGAACAGGCATTGACAAGGCCTGCAAAGTGAAAGAGTATAAACTCCAGCGAGGCTAGGAATTAGAGTATCTCAGAAAGTATGAAGAGTTCACCTCAGTTTTTCAACTAAGCATTTCAAGAAAAAAAATAAGTGTTCCTATTCAAAACAGATTTAAGACAGTTTAGATATCTCTAACTCCCCTCTTTTATCATAATCTCATTTCTCCTTCATGGTGTAATATCCCCCCATTCCGCAAAGTGCTCTGTGTGGAGCACAGCCTCAACAGAGAAGGTAGGAGGTCACATGCCCTGCTTTTCCAGCCCCCCTCTTTCAGTCTCTTTTACCACCCAATGTGAAACACAGCTAGGACAAATTTTCCAGAATTACTCCACTAAAAAAAAGTGAGGGTGGATAACTCAGTGACTGTCAGACTGGGACCAAAGGTCAATCAATCTTCCAATGTAACATCAATTTTTTATTTTTTATTTTTACTAAACAAAGCAGCACAGTCCTGTAGAAGGCTCAGAAGAAAAGCACAGCAAGCTCCTTCTAAGGTTTCTGCAGAAAAGTTACTCTATTGGAAATACCTTTCCAATTATGGGTTGCTTACAGTCAAAGGGATGCTGGTAAATAGTTGACATAGATCTTGCATGAACAAAGACTGTGAAAGCAGTCAGGAGTTGTCAAATGATAGGGAAGCGTGAACATTTCTCCATGGCAAAAGAAAAAGCTAGCAGCAGCCGCCTAAAAAGACAAGGGTTGATTTATGTTTACAGTGTTCAAATGTGAGAGCAAACTGGGCCACCCATTTAGAACTGAATTCTGCTCCTTGATTGCACTGCTATTTTTAACTTCTGTGTTTCTATAACAAGTCTGGCTACGAACTTTGCTACACTTCCTCATACAAAGAGAATTCATAGACTTTCAGCAAGGCTGCTGTATTTTAGATGAGATGGCAATTTTATTTGAAAAGTGACAAGGAAAAAAATGCGACCTCCCTTACTTGGCAGATTTGTGCCCTGTGTGTATTCTATTATAATTTACTGATGCTGGTGATGAAATACATTCCCCTTGATTTCAGTCACTCAGCCCTGCAGATCTGGTGGAGCTGAGAGCAAGAATAGCATCCATGACTTCCCAGAACACACCTGGGTGAAGTTGGAAGCATTTTTTGTTTGCTTGTTTTTAATTTGGTTGTGATTTCCATAGGTAGCAAGCACAGATGGATGTCCCATACATCAGCCCAACAGAACTACTTCACATCTAGACATACCATCTAAGCCCAATAGATACAGCACCTCCCAGGACTGTTACAAGCTCCACACGAATCCCTGAGGTCCCAGGAGGCATAATGCAGAGCAGTCATGTGATTTGCATTGACCTGGCAGAGTATTGCTCACCATTACAGTGGTTGTGAATTAATACACAGCAACGTGGCTGCCATCAGCCTAGTATCCCTCAGAAGGGTGTGACTATGGTACACATTGTGTAAGGCTGCAAGCAAATACAGTACTGTTAATCAGGAAACCACAGAGAAAGCTACAGCAACTTCAATGGTCTTCACTCTGATTTCCTTGAGTAACTGCAGAAATGCTTGCAGTGAAAAATCCATGGCTCAGATTCTTCACCCTCAAACCTACAAGATCTGGATTCTACCAGGTGATTTTGAAAGTAATGATAATGCATTACAGTTGCTCTCTTCTCATTTCCTACCCCTAGAAGGTATGCCATTTATCTTTCCAAGGCTTTTCAACCTGCAGATCTGAGATCTAGAAATCTACTTTTGTAGATACTTGGAAGCAGTGAAATTGCTTCAGATAAGCTCTTTGCAACACCAGATAAAATATCATAAGGAATATCAATAATCATATGTATATAGGAAAAAGTTGACTCACCCAACTGGTGAAAGGATCTCTACCTACAGAACACTCACTCACAAAAAGCAGCCTCCATTGAAGAAACACTCCCCCTTTGGAGGCTAGCCCTTAAATGAGCTCAGGAAGGGGTGGATCCATGGTCAACCCCTCCTGGTCATCTGGGAAGCACAGGTGAATTGCTTGCACCTGTGCTTCCTGGGCCAGCCACCCCCTTCACCAGATTCTCAATCATCAGTTTAGACTGTGATATAACAGGTCCCTTACAACTTTTAAGGAAAAACTGTTCAACTAGCAGTAGGTAAAACACTATGAGATTCACTGTCAAGTGAAATCTGTCAGATTCTCACATAAATCCCTTGCTTCCAATAGCAAGGGTTCTGAACAAAAGTTGTGAGATTTATGACAAAAATCACCACAGTTGTTAGCAAGGCATATAAAAATACTGCTGAGGTTAAGCAAAAGTTGGACAAGAGATGGGTCTACAAAGCTAGCAAGGCTGTATTTTGGCTGTATCATAGAATAAAAGAATCACAGCATCATTAAGATTGGAAAGAGCACCAAGATCATCTAGCCCAACCATCAACCAACTCATCACCATCATAACACTAAATCATGTCACATGGTGAAACACCTACCCTTTTCTTCAAAACCTCCAGGGACAGTAACTCCAAAACCACCCTGGGCAGCCTGTTCCAATGCCTCACCACCCTTTTTGAGAATAAATTTTTCCTAACATCCAACTCGAACCTCTCCTGGTGCAAATACCCTCTTGTCCTACCAGTAGTAACCTGGAAGAAGAGGCTAACATCATCCTTTCAGGTAACCGGAGGGAGCAATAATGTCTCCTCTGAGCCTCCTCTTCTCCACATTAAACAGTCCCCATTCCCTCATGTGCTCCTCATAACACTTATGATGTTCCAGATGTTTCACCAGCAGTGTTAACCTTCTTTGGACACACTTCAGGGCCTCAATGATACCAGCTCTGTCGTTCATTCAGGTCCTTTGCCACAAGTCAGCTTTGCCTCCTCCTGCTCACAAAGCCCAGTGCAAGCAAACATGTCACCGAAGTCACAATTTCAACTATATCACGTAAGTCTTATATCCCAAGTATAGGTCTGTTCTTTTGTCTTTTCAGGGAAAAATGTCCTTCCTTACTCAAGCAAGGAAGATCTAAACTTACTTGAAAGAACATCTCTAAGTCCTGTCCCAACTTTTAAAAGAGCTCCTTCAAAAAACACACAGAGGAAAGAAAAGTGGTCCTTCCCATCCAGAGATGTGAGGGACAACCTGCTTTGAAGAGAGGCCATCCTTCCACAACAGCTTGTGTTTATTTGTTTGAGGATATTAAAAAGTGGTGTTTCTCAAACACAGCCATCATGTAAACAACACGGATGACAAAGATGCAGCAGAGTAATTTCTGCCTTCCTGGTAGCTCCCTCCAGAGTCTTTTAGCTTCCTCAACTTTAGGGGAAAGTTTTACTCCAGGGAATGCAGAGGTGTTGATGGCTTCCTTTTTTTAAAAAATTCATTTCAACTTAATTTCATTAGATTCCCTAAGATAGAGAACTTCAGAAATCAAGAAGCCAAATATATAAATAAAAAGAGAGAGGAAAAAAAATGATGTCACCCTCAAGCAGTTCCATCAAGGGATGACATTTTAAATCACATCATGTCTCACACCCATTTCTTAGTGCAAAATAAATCACTTGAAGAGAGTGCAAGCCAATTTTTTCTTTAAAAAATGTTGTGTCCTAAGGCTCTCTTCTTGAACTTCAAAAGCATACTTCATAATTACTCTACCTATCAAAGGAAACTCAATATTTCACCTCCAACCTCCCTCCACTTGTGTTATAATTTTTAATTGTTAATAAATTATATTAATTTTAAACTGGTTATTCTCTCTTGAAATTACATCTTTCAAATGACTATGCAAAGTTATTTTAAATTAACATATTTAACTTAAAATTATATTTTAATAATTTGTTTATGACTTTTCTTCCCTGTTAATTCTTGTATTAGGATTTCAATCTTGGGACATCCCATTTAATTTTGTTTAAATATTACTGTCTCCATTTAAGAGCCAAAATCTGTTTCATAAAGGTTTAGATTGCTAGAAAGCAACGATTTTTACTTTGTTAGCACAGTTTTCTATTCTTATTTGGAGCATTGCTATGCACTGTATGGGCTTGCAAGCTTAAGACGCAGTAGGAAAAGCTGAGGTCATATTTACAGTCTGAAAACTGCTCTCACAGGTGCGTACCTCATTCTTAAAGAATATGCACATCAGTATTTCCAGTAGAGATATATTATTTCCTCTAGCTAGCAGATATATTACTTAACGCTCTGTCCTTACATACATTCAAGAAGGGTAATTGCAGCCTCTACTGCAGATGCAGTATTTTCTATAAAGGTGAAGGCTTCTGGAAAAAGGAAGCAGTGTTCCTATGTGCATTTGAATCTGATAATGAAGGCATCATTCTTCACAGTGCCCAAAAGCCATCATTTAAGAGTTCTCACTGTTTTTTCAAAGCTGGTCACAAGCTTAAGTGAGTAATTACTGCAAAATGGTAGGAAAAAAAACAGTGTGCTGATACTAGTATTACATTTATCTATGCTCTTCAAACTCTAGCACACAGGAATTGCCTTCATGGCAGGACCAACCAAAATAGGTGGCAAAGTCCTATGCCTGAAAGTGACATGCGGTGAGACACACGCAAAGAAGACCTCTTGTAGAAGTGATGCTCTGTTTGCACTGGAGGTCCCAGGAGCCAAGGAGAAATGGAGCATGCTATAAAGAAAAAAAATGCATCCAGTTGATGAACTCAGCTACATGGCTTTACAAACAATTCTCACATTGAAGGAAAAAACTTTCCAGATATGTCTCTGGGATTCCTGGGCAGCCCACTGGAAAGAACAAAGCAGAAACTGTCTCTGGATAGTATCCTGCAAATGCTATGTTACGTGCAGCATCTACAGAACAGTGTCAGGTGGTTACTCCTATCCTCTGTTGGCTTTTTTTTTCAGATAGAAGACTAGGACTATCTCAAGATCCCAGTAAGTTGTACAGTCACGTATTAAATTATTTTTTTCTAAGATACTGATAGACACCTGCAAATTGCCCATGTTAAAAGAACTCTGACTCTGAAAGATGCAAAGAAGTGTGGACCTCAGAAATTGCTCCTCACTAAACCTGCTATATTTTGTCATCTTGTCATTGTTTGGCATGCAAGGCAGTCTTCCTATATGAAAGGAAGACTACTATCAATGGTAGAACACAGGCGAAATGAATCACAGGAAGCTGGAAGAACTACAAGAACAGGAAAGAAGAAAAGTTTCAGACCAAATTCACACTTGCATAAATCTCAATACACACTCCCATGTCCCAGCTCATAGAGATAAAAAAAGTAGCTCCTAATTCTTTCCATATGTTCCAAACAAAATGTTATGAATGAAACATGGATCTTTGTCCCAGTTGTTCCCTTCCAATGCATCCCACCCAGCTCTGGATTAACCTGCTAAGCTCGTAGTTCAGTCTCATCTGCTTGGTCAAGAGCAGAGCAGGGTGTTGTGCCAGCAAAGGCATTGTACTTTTCCTTGCTAACGAATGAGTGCGAGGTCGACAGCAACATGTGGTGGGAAGCTCAGACACAAACATGTGCTTTTCTCCAGCAGAAAGACAGACGGAGGGGTTGTGTGGAATAGGGTCGTATGGTTCCTTTCCTTTACGAGATGAGGGCTTCCAGAAGAGAAATGCATTTCAACAGAAGGGAGGCACAGCAGCCTCCTGGATGCTCTAATTTATTTCTACTAGGTGTCTTCATTTAAGGAGCAACGTGTTTTCTCTCGAGTCTGGCATAGCCACTGGCTGAAGCAACAGATGCACCACTTGGATGATCCTGAAGAAGGGAAAAACATCTGTCTGCAGTAGCGTTTCTGGACTCTGAGGACCAAGTGAATAAGCCTATGGGAACTTCACAGACACTTGAAGTTCTAATTTATTCATTGTTGATTTATTTATACAACTTTATGCAAGAGCCATGGTGACACACAGTAATGTATATAGAAGAATTTTAGCATATAAATTAATTTTGTTTCCCACTTTAAGACACGAAGAAAAAAAAAGAGAGAGGCTTTAGGTATCTGCAAAGTGGCATGTCATTAGATATTTGCGTATTGAGGCGGGCATCTGACATTTTATAGTATACACAGTTGACACATCTGGGAAAATGCATACACTGCCAGCTAAAATGCCTAATCTCTTCTTTAGCACATCTGTGGTTTAATTACAAAACTTAGAGAACAATTAAAATTCAGGTCAGCACACAGCAGCAATACCATCCTTTGATGTGGGGTCAGTATTGGTCACAGTCCTGTACTCATTATATAGGTTAATCAACTTAGTGGAGTAACTATGACAGGACTGACCAAAAATCCATGTAATTACTGTTGCTCTGAGAGCGTTGGCAAGCAGGCTATTTTACTCAGTCAATACACAAATACTTTTAAATAAAAAGCAGCTAGAAATCACAGATACAGAGCTGTTACCGTAAAGCAGATTTGTTTGTTCCACAAATAACTCATTACTGCTGTTGCTCTCGTGATTGCCATCCGTCTGCAGGAGCAGGGCATGCACCCCCCGGCACACGTGCAAGCACACACCCACACAGCAGTCTTAATCTCGTAATTAGATTTGTACCGGTGACTACTTCTGCCCCTGCAGCATCCCACTGGCCGTGGTTGGTTACATTCTGCACCAACTTGCAAAGCCAGCGCACAGATCCGCTTGCAGTAATTTAGTATGAAATAACACGCACATCACTTTTCTTCTCAGAAAGAGAATGGCTCTGGTTGATGCAGGCCCTGACGGAGAGTGAGAATACGTGTTTGTGACCTCCCATCTTCACTCATGAGTCCATCTCACAAGACTTACTTGTAGTCATTGCAGATTCTGGGTTAACTTTCACCCAGCAACTATTGAAAGAGAAATGCAACACTACAGACAGATCTCTTGCCCTGATGTAAATTCCCCTTCTTCCCTGAATAAAGCAAACTCATCCTCAACCTCCCACAGGTAATCTTGCGTCC